TTATAAAAGTGATTACTGTGCGAGCGAAAGCGCAGCTGGTATTCGGCAATGGCAGGACATAATGCTGTCTGTGCACTATGTACTTTTATACATTATAGTACCTTTATAATAATACTATTGCAGCGCTTGGATGTCGCAATGGTAAGGAACTCATCTAACAATGGGAGGCATTTCTCGCGGACTCCTTCATCGTATTCCACATCATGGCGAGTAACGTTAGGCCAATTCTTTTGCTCGTTTTTTACATATTTAGTCTCGCTGCCCTGCCGTACTACAGTATATCCAACAAATTACCCATTTTGCGGCAAGTGATTCCCAACATAGCAATGTTGAATGTTGTATACGATTCACATCCAAGACGACCCAGACTAGCAGAAAATTCAAAATCCCAATAAAACTGTAAACAATATTGGGCAAACAGTTTTTAGTTTAAGTAGGCTTTAGAAACACTCATTCTTCAGAAGGTCAAGTACGGAGTACTTGACTGTACACTTTACCTCTTCAGCTCTACTTGTAAAAAGTGTTTGGGCCTTTCGTGCCTCCCCTCTCCCCTGCAATAACAAAATGAGCAAAGAGGAACACAGTCATTATGAACAAAATGACATAATAGCCTGGGCTTAGCCTACCTTGAATCACACGGACAGGCGGATCACCGCACGGCGAACAGCAGACCGGAGCTAGGGAAGTGCAGGAATGTGGATTGTCATGATTGGTTGCAGTAGAACGTAATTACGTTTCTAAGCAGGGCGCAATCCGAGGGAAACCGAGAAACGGCTGAAAAAGGCGCCGATGGGGGAATCGAACCCCGGCTACGTCGTTAGATCCGCGTAGGCAGTACCACTGCACCACGGCGCTATACGTTGAAATCGTTTGAAAGATTTTGTCGCTGTACGTGAGCCGCTTCTCCGCTCACACGTTCATAGAACCGTTTCATAATACGGTTCTATGAACGCTACAGTACTAGTTTTATGTGTACTTTTTGTCAAGTTAGCACTAATAGTACTTCTAGTAGTACTAATTAGCACTAATAACTCTTCAGTGTACGCTCCGAAGCTCATTCAGACAGGACTGACACGTGTTCTAAATTTGTGGAAAGTTTTTTGTGAATATAAGTATAACCTTTGTAGCAATATCCTAATTCTCCTACCTGACATAGCGTACCGTTGTGGCATAGTTACTGTTTTAGTGTCCAAAGCATTGAAGTCTAGCGCATAGAGTTGAACAGGAACTGGAAAATTCGAGGTTCGAGCGAGAGGTATAAACAATCCTAATAGGTTAAGCGTTATGTGTTTTGCTAAATTCTGTTTTTAAATGTAAGTACGTTTCAATTGCAAACTTTCAGTACTAGTACTGTATTTGAATCTGTTCTGCAGAACCGTAACCACGAGAACCTGATCGCTACCGCATGAACCATCGCAAAATGTGCAGCTACGCTTCCAAAGTTGGGAACTACGCTTCGGCAAGCTGCTCGTTCGCACTACTAGACGATTTAACGTGGAAGCGGAAAAAAGACCTGGAACAAGCACACTGTGATGAGTGTGAAGTATATCCCTATCCGCCATGCCAATCTACCGTCCCTGGCGAATTTCAAGGATGGCGAGCTGATTTATCTGGATTGCACCGAGAGCAAGCACATGGCCCAGGAGTACGTAACCAACGGCCTCTACATCCTGGAATTCGGATCCGCGGATAGCAGCATCTACACAGCGCGGGTGGTCATCCATATGTTCCCCGTGAGCGACATCCCACCCGTCCGGCGAATAAAACATACTGCAGACCGATGGACGAGGCCATGCGCAATCGCATGCGGCATGTACTGGGGATGTGCAGTTGCTCGCTGTGTTTTAGAAACTGTGCGCACGTGGCGAACTACGTGTTCCAGGTGTTACGACCGTGGTGTTGACAAGTGGACGGCGGCTACCATGGTTTAATTAATTGCCAATGTGCATGGTCTGCGTGCTCGTTAGTACGAGTATTAATTATGACCATATGTGTGCAGATATTTATATCTTTACCGTATCGTTCTATCTCTGTAAGATCGCTGACTGCTGGTCAAGTGGGAATAATGAGGCAGGATGAATGTGGCCTGCAGATGTGGTTAATGTGAAACACAGTGATGGGATTGGTGCATGTGTTTTTCTAGCTTTGTGGCTGTATGCGAATATGAGCAATTCAGCATATTGATGTGGTATATAGTTGATGCAACTGTGGGAAGGCGGCACAGTTGTCAGAGTGCAACTGTCATGATGTGGAATAAAAGTTAAGCTTTTTCCCTTAGTGTACGTTACGGTGGTAGACGTAGTACATTAAGGGTTTTATCATTTGGTGCCGAAACCGTGCTATATTGTTGCAATATTGGGATAATATCCGACAATATAATGGGTGAGGAGGAAAAGGTCATCGTTGTTGGAACGGTGAGCCGTGGAGTTTCATATTGTTGGATATTGGGACAATACCTGACAGTATAACAGGCGAGGAGGAAAAGGTCATCGTTTTGGATACGATGAACCGTGTTGTGGGATATTGTTGGTATATTGGGATAATATCTGACAATATAACTGGAGGAGAAGAAGGTCACCGTTGTGGGAACGGTGGGCCGAGTTGCTGGATATTGTTGAGATATTGGGAAATATCTGACAATATAGCGGAAGGAGAAAATCAGCGCTGTGGGAACGGGTAGCCGTGCTGTTGGATATTGTTGGGATATTGGGATAATATCCAACATTATAAGAACGGTCGTACCTGTGGAAACGTGAACCGTTTTGTTTGATGTTGTTGAGATATTGGGATAATATCCGACAAGAAAGGCAGAGGTCACCGCTGTGAATACGGTGGACTGTGGAATTATATATTGTTGGAATATTGGGTATTTCTGACAATATAATGGGTGACAAGGATAAGGTCACCGCTGTGGAAGCAGCCGGTGTGAAGTACACAGTGAATGTGAACTCTCGCCAGTTAGCGAAAGAGTTTACGGATTTGAAATTGGCCAGCGACACCAAGCCACCGTTGTTTAGCGGGGAAGCTAAAGAAGTGGTGGAGGAATGGTGCCGGCAATTTCAGCGTATAGGCAATGCACTTGAGTGGACGGATGCTGTCTTGCTGAAGCAGGCGCCGATAGACGCCGGAATAGCCTGCAGATGGATGCGCAGAGCGATGACCTGCTGATCATGTATTTCCGTACCAGCGAACATATTGTCTGCAGTCGCGTGAATCGTATTTCGACTATGAAAGAACAACTAGAATGTTCTGGTGGTGGGACCAACAGGTGCCGGCAAATCGCGACTGATTAGCATGCTGTTCAACCTCAACATCTGCGGCTCGCGATCCACTCATCAAAGTGTGACACAAGGGATTGCCTTTGTATGGGGTCAAGCCAAGATCTCCATCTCCTTGAACACCCATCAAAAAGGAGCGCTAGCGGAAAGAAGGTACGGTACTGCTGTTCTCCAAGAAATGTTATCGAACAGGAGATCATGTATACGGGATTTATATCAGAGATGTCGCTGAACGATATGACTAGAGCCCATGTGAAGGCTGCCTGGAAGACTGGACGGTAGCCAGCGTATTGCGCTGGAGGAATCGGGGTGCACCATCTTGTGAGATGTTTGGGCAGGTGGTTGATATTGGTGCGGCATGTTTTCATTCGTTCGAGTATCGTTCATCATAGCGTCATAATAAGCGTAATCTACGTTACTCTGTTGTTGTTGTATAACGGAAATCTTGTTGCTAATGTAGAATACTTGCTTGACAATTCTGATTATAGGGGCATAACGTTTAAATTGATTGTTGTAGTGCAGTTTACAATGTTATTTTGTAAATAATTTCCGATGGCCTTTTTTTAGTTATCGTTGTATTGACTTGTGTCACGGTTTCCAGACTTTCCACTTTCGTGCTTCGTATAATAAGCAACAATGACTGGCTTCCTGTACTTATAGATTTATTTCGTGATATTTGAGCGCGAGTCACATTTCTTCCACCAATAAACCACCGAGACGGCAGGTACACGGATCCGGACTGCAGCGAGCATTAGGATAAGCCGGGCCGGTGTCCGAGTCGCAAGGTGTCAGCTTGGAATAGCGATATAACACGTACCTACGAGGTGGACAATCTGCAGCAAAATCAACCCAACGAATCTTTTAGTCTTTTACGTTGTCCCGGCGAAAGTGTAAATACAGTATTTCATGCTTGTATGCTTACTGGATAGAATTCCACTGGTGTCCGAGACTGCTGCAGCTATGATGCCATCCATGTTAGGCAAATTAGTACCACTGTGCGATGCATAGCGTTGTCGGTGCTCGTAGCACGGAAGGCGGAGTTTGGCAAAATAATTATGTACAATTTTACCGGTAATTTGTGGCAAAAGGGTGAAAGTTTTACGGCCAATGCCACATACCGGTACCGCATTTTTCAGTTTTTTCGAAAGCATAAGGAAACTGCCATTCGGGTTTGCTGCCAACAAAACTTCGTAAACACAAATCGGTACGTGAAAAAAGTATTCAAATAGGAAACGCTTTTAGACTGAGTAAGAAAACCGCTTTGCAAGCAGGAATATATGAACATTTCCTACTTCAGAAGTCTCGATTACTTGCGCTGGGTACAATCAGACAAACATACACTACATTTGCAGTTTATCCGTGATTCAGTAAAATGTAATCATAAGTCACCAGAAGTAATTACAAATCTTTTTCCTGTTGTGCATAGCCGGATACTAGTCCTGCTGCGAAAAAAAGTAATAAATTAAGACACATGTAGTTTTTTGTGCATAATGCCGGGATAAGTAAGGACTGGTAACGTGTGTCACGTGTGTAACTTGGCAACGTGCGGGCTCATCTGCGCTCCGAATGGTCAAAACAACCATACGGCACGTTTACACGATACCGCGTTGAACAGCTCCGTTTTTTTTGAAAACGCGTGCTTATCTCTGTGAATCATAACCCACGGCAATAGCGCGCTGCACTAACCATATACCAGCCTCCGAGAAAAGATAAATAGCATAAATTGCATTAGACTGCATATTCAACAAATTACAATCATGTGTTCATAGAATGGGGAAACCGACTGTCTTCATTCTTGACTCTTGAGAATGCAAGGGCATCCTCCATTATTAATAGACTAGCTGAGCCCCAACAAGACTGCGCGGAATTAATTAACTTACTTTGAGTTACGGTAAGTCATTTAGCTCTTTTTCCTTAATTATTAAGTAATTAACAAAAAATGCGTACACCAAACCCGAGAAAAAGCTACATAATACGCACACACATTTGTTTGTCTTTCGCGTGACCTTTGGGTCAGGGGCATTCCTGGTGAACTACGTAGTAAGTACTTAAATATTTGTGAATTGTAATATTCAGGGTTCAGCCACTCGGGTAACGGCTTTTTGTGCAATTTTTGGAAGCTGATAAAAATGGTTTCCCAATCCAGCTGATTCCTTCGTTGGACGGGAGCCCGTTCAGTTTCGATGGACAGACCACTTAGCCGTTGCCCGCTTCTGCCGTCACTTTATTGAGTTCATCGTTAATTTAAAGGTTTCAGAGGAATTTGGTGTTACTGGCGGCAAGGAAACCATTCACGGACTAAGTCCACACATACTGGACATTAATATGATTATTCCACACAAACTCTTAATATGGTTATTTCTAAATACATACATTATACAGTACATACATTGTTCTAAATACATACATTATTTTATTAAATACATTCTTCTTGGGAAGTGCGCCTTCGACTTGCTGGCCGAAGCGATGGATTCGGCCGACTGTGATATTCGCGTGGAATCGTGCTGGGCGACGTACACTGATAATGCCGATGATCCGCTGCGCTACGATCTCATTCATAACTCATAAGGGATGAGACATTCATTTTGAAGTTTTCTTACCTAATCACAGTATGGTCAAGTAGCCGCTTAATACTTTGTTCCGTGCTGTACTTCGGACCTTCGGAAATGCACATTATCGGCACATTATTACGAATTTACAATATTTGCATATTATTGTTGTTTTCTGCATGCATTACGGATATATGCGTCTCGTTTTTACAGGTTTCCACAATGAGCCGCACTATTGCCACCATTGGACAAGTTTCTAATTACATGTACCAGTACGGAGAACAGATAGTAATAATTACCAGTTGATGGCGTACTAGTCTTTCAATATAATAGTCTCACAAAATGTTAGCCATACGCTGTCTTCCAGTCGAGCACAACGTCTCGGAACCTGTAGAGCTTGGATAATCTGGCGGATGTGAATGCCGTCCGGTAAGACTCAGACATTCCCGTATGTTTCCAATGCCACTTGTTTTGTTCCGCATAATGCGCAGTAGATAACGACTGGTGACGTGTGTCATCACGATCCGGAGCTTATGTGTCATCACGATCCGGAGCTTGTCTACCTAGGCTCCGAATGGTCAAAACAACCATACCGCACGTACTGTATTCAAGATACCGCGCTGCGCTAACTCCACCGTTCTTATATCTACGAATCATAACTTATGCACCATAGTGCGACTGCGCTGCACTGGCCGACTTTCCTGTAACTAAGGGGAGAAGCCAGACAGCCAATCAGGTGTGGCTAGCAGCAAAAAATGGCTACATGCCTTAATTCATGCTAGTGTCAGAGCGGCATCCGCTCTCTATAGGATCGTTCGATAGAATATTTCAATACATTTTGTATGCTTTGCCGATAGCCTAGTGGTGCCTCTCTCGGCCTTAGAGTATGGAGGTTGTGGGTTCGATTCCCTCAATCGGCAGATTTTTTGCGAGTGTCTGTGCGAGCCTAGCCCAGCCCTTTCACTAGTTCAAGTTGTTATACGCGTACGAACTACGAACAAAGCGTTACATTCGCAACCACATTCAACGATTCCTGGTATCGGTCAGTGCGAATTTTCCAACAGTGTTATACTGACGATTATACTCGTATTGTCCTAATATCTGTATTACTAGTACTGTCTTTATTGTTTTATGACTTTTATCACTCTTTTTCATTTCCACGGTGGAAGAAAATCTCGATTAATTTATCCAGATAAATTAAACCGAGATTTTCTGGTTGTAGTTTTCTGTTTGTGTAGTTCTTTTCATTATTTTGTGTATCAGATGTGACCGATAAAAAGCCACGATCTCACTCCCATAATCTCATAATGGGCTGCTTTTTTGTGGCTGTCGGGCTTATTGTGCTGGAGCTGGTCTGGCTTTTCCCAGCCCGTCGTACTTGTCCGGTACAAAAAGGAGTCGATGGCAATGTGGAGAAACGTAAGTTTTCTGCGATTTAGGTGGGATATCTTCGACAGTTTTAGATTAATGCTTCGTAAGCCTTTCTGTCGAACTGCGAGATCTTTCCGCTGGCGGCACTTTGAACTTCCGGCTCCCACGGCGGCATCTACTGGTCACACAAGGACCATTGTGCTCGTTGGGAGCCGTTGCACTTCCTGCCGTATCAACTGGGAGGCAGAAAAGTTGACGGGCTTTCGGTTCTTCAGTCTTCGGTGATAACGAATTTTACTTTTTATACTAGTTAATAGTTATGATTATGCAGTTAGGATACACCATCATACCAGTTGCGTAAAACCGGACAAGAAGTGCAGTACGATTAGCAAGTATACATATACCGATACGACGTGCTTTTTTCATGAATAAAATGTGGCGCAAATTGTGCGGACGGCTGTAGCTATAGTGGTACTAAGTACTCTTTACCGATAACAAATTCTCGACGTTCTTAAAACTTCCGAAAATGGAAATATAGCGAGTTACTCAGACAGCATCTACAAACAAAGGCGGTCGAATAAGAGTCTGTAAATGTAACGTGTACATAACCTGCATAATAGCAAATTCTGTCTAAAAGCGCAAATGACAAATCGTATAATATGCAAAAGTGTGATATTTACACAAAGGGTTTCTATATAACGCTAGTATGAAGTTTCTTCCCCCCCCCAAAGTAGTTTTTTGAGAAAAACGAGAAAAACGAAAACAAACAAACTAAGATCAAGGATATTCATAATAAAGAAATTCATAATTTTCTAAAATTATTTTTGTTAAATTTCTTGCAAACAAAATTCACAATAATTACGTCGGAGATATGGTCAATCGGACGATGTGCGTCCATGTCAGCATGTAGATGACCACCGGTCAGACATACAAAAAAACCCGTATTTTGCCATAAAATGCGTAAAATATCCTTTAATTGTTGTTTACATTCTTAGGGATGAACGCAGCTGTCCAGCATGTAGCGCAAGGCCAAGTGACCAGTGGCCAATTTCTTAAACCCAGTTATTGCATGACTGGAAATGCTAAAATAAAGGGAATTAAGCTCAGTTTATTGTCAGCGAGCATAATTTGTCCATTCTTGCTAGGGGACCACTGACCAAAAGAGTTTGCACAAGAAAAATTCGAAAAATAATGAAGAAAATTGAAAAAATTCCAAAAAATTGGAGAATTTAAAAAAAATTATCCTAAACGCTTCAAAAATTCGCTTCGGTGATCCAGCAGCACGTGCGGTGAAATTTGCTTTCTCAAGTAGTCCCTTCTGTCGCTAGAGATTCCTTGTGTGGGCAATATTTTGAGAGGTGATACAATCATTTGGGCGGCCGGAACGTCTAAAATTAATAAAAGCATAATCATTTCTACTTTTTTAACAGAAATAATTAGCACTTATTACTTTTCTTTACGCGCTTTTGCCGAGTAGTAATGTTTTACATCTTCAGTTTCGTTGGCTCATCCTGCAGTCTTGTTCGTAACTCTGCAATCACTTCACCATCCGCGTTTTTCGTAAACGTAAAATGAAACACCTTTTGAATTCCGACAATCGCATGGTATTTGCTGTCCAAGTTGGTTTTCCAGTCTTTCCATTCCCATGGGAATTTTTCGCTTCTGTTGGGCACACCGTAAGCAAAGGCTTTGCAATTCGTTATCGACTGGCCAATTTCCAGGAGATGGGATGTGAGACTGCTTTCGTTACGAAGAAACTTTTTTTAAATAATCCAAAAAATCGGTCGGGCGTGAATTTAGTGTGTCCGACAGGCATGAAATGGACTTCAACCGATTCATAAAACCCAGAGTTTACGAGGTCCGCAAAATACCCCATTGTAAACCGGTTTTTATTTTGTCCACCGCAGTTGTCGCAGTAGAATATCGCTTTTTTTCGTTGAAACTGTAGTTCTTAAGTTGGTGATCTAGCATCGAAATGACCGCGTTCGGTCCATGGGACTCCTTTCCGCTTTCTTTAATGCACTGGCTTTCGTCGAATATGTAATAAGAATTATCCTGGCTGGATTCGCAAACGATGGCAAACAGATGCACCCGCAAACAAACTGAAAAAATAAATATTGAAGCTGGTTAATTAATATTATAATAACAGTATGAAAATTGCTTTTTTAACCCTTTTTCACACAAATTGTAACATTTACAAAATTTTCGTACCTAAGAAGTACAGCGGCCCGACCTGCTCCGGATAGTTAGGGATAGAGACCGATTGCGCAAAATCAAACGAGTAAACTGCTGTGGAGGACTCTACAAGTTCAGGATAACGCTGCCCTCCAGCACGCTGTGGCGGTCGAAATGGACGACACTGTCCCAAATAAGTTTGTTGTAGTGTGCACGCTCCTCCTGAACAAGATCCAAATGGTCCCGCCACTCCTGAGACTTTTGCAGTTTGTCTTCATCGGTAGCTTTTGCGAACCTCAATCCGTCACGAAGGGTAACACAGGTGTTACACAAATCAGTTCTCGGCGTCATAACTTTCGCCCAGACATTTCTGCAAATTAGTAAATTAAGATGAGTTATAAAGTAGAAAGTGACGAATGAGCATATCAAAAATATTATTACAAAAATTGTTGAATGTTTTATAACCATAATATTTTCAAGATATTTACCGAAAAGATTGTAGTGAAGCATAGCTTTCATTTGCTGCGACGGCGCATTTCACGTAGTCTTTCCACATCAGTTTTTTCTGTGTGTGTGCGGGTAGATAGATTTTAGGGACAGCCTTCACACCTCGCGGTGGCGCCGGCATCGGATAGCCGTACTTCTCTCCCTTCTCTTGCAGATAGATCCGGATACGGCTTACGACAACTTCTGGTAGATGGTTGTTGCTTGTCTTGCTGCACAACCCGTGCTTCGGTGCAACCAACCCTTCTGTTGAAAAGTGGAATTTCAGATTGTCAAGCTGGGTGCGGCCACAGTCGTAGATTGTACGGAACGCGGGCAGGCATAAGTTCTGTCCTGAATCAAACGGCATTCGCTGCATTTTTTCCCTCTTATCATTCCCAGGTCGTTCCCATAAAGTGACTGCAAATTAGTGGTTGTAAGAAGAACGTCTGAATAGTACACACCTTAAGTAGCAATAGAGCAGAAAATAATGATTATTTAAGCAGTGAATCTCGAGCATTTATTTTTAATACTCGGAGAAATTTTTATTACTTACTTGCACTAGAAAGTTTTCCCATCAAAAAAAGTTGCCTTTGCTTATTCCCCAAATTAAAATACTGCTGCTGGTGGCGCTCTAAAATTTCCTTCGGGATCTTCTGCAGACACATTTGTTTGCAGCAGGGTTTAAGGAAAGAAGTTTGGAGCTTTTCGGCAGCTTTTTGGCTGGTTTTGGTCTTTTCCTTTGCGGGTGTGACGGTGGCGGCCGGGGACGGGCTTGCGGTGAAGTGCACCATCTCATCCCAGAAAGCCTCGTGTGGTTCGTTTTCGATCAAAGAAACGTTGAGCTCTATTATAAAAATCAGAAACCTCAATGGTAAATAAAGATTTATCAGAACAACTATTATAGTCTGATTAGCAGTCTAAATAACGAAATAGCTAATTTGTCAATAACAGCACACAGAGCTTAAGGTTCTTTGCGTTATAGTATACTGTGTTAGTGGCGTTTCTTTATAGGTATCAACAATAATTTTTGCAAAAATTATTTGTTATTATAAGTATATACATCACTCGCTAAATTAAAGTTAATTTCTACGGTGCGGAATGTACCATCTGAGGCCTGTGAAGTGGAGGGAGGCTGCACAGCAGCCGGAGGTCCCTGTGTCATGGCTGGGGTTTCCTCCGCAGAGTCGCCTTCATCCTCCTGCTCCAGACTGCTACTCAGGTCCCCGTCAAACAGGTTTGACATGCCATCCGTGTCGCAGATATCAGACACATCCAGATTCGTGCTGCTCTCAGTATAGGGCAAAAGCTCCTCTCGTTCATTCTCCTCGAAAATGTTTTGCAGCAGCTGACGCGCTGTGAATTTGGCCATTTGCCACCAATAATCAAGTAAAAACTAGTAACTAAAAGTGTTAGAACTTGTATAAATAGTATAAACAAATAAAACAAACCATTGCGCATGCAAACAAACGAAACGCTGCCGTCCGCAAAAATTTACAGCAAGTTTATATTCACACTGCTGTTGTTGCGCTGCACAAAGAAAAACAGGGTGATTGCGCAATTTTGGACACTGTACGGCCTACGGTTGACCAAACTGACAACCGACACCACAGGGTGGTAGAGCACTATTTTCTCTATAGTACTAGCGGTGGTCCCCCCCGAACCATATTTTGCTCTGTGTAAAATGCTTTTGCACTTATGCTGGTTTCTACTTGTGTCTTATTAAAACGTATTAATAAATAAATTAAATTTAATTTAATTTATTTATTAATACGTTTGATACTAGCATTAGCAAAATAGTCGTGCTAAGATGCAAGACTGCACGTTGAAATAGATGGATAACCGAAATGCTAAATCCGGCAAGCAGCCGATGAATCGCTGAAAGATCAGTTGACTGTAATTTATAGGGATGGCAAGACTTCACTAGACTTCACTCTGCTTCACTAAAACTTCGTCAAAGCTTTTAGTCACCAAAATTCACTTCACTAAAAGTCAAGTGACTAAAATTTACTTAACTAAAGTTTTGAGTCGTTAACCGTTGTTAACTTTGACTAAATATAAATATTTATTTTCTTCAAAATCAGTATTTGCAGAAAGTTTCATGAGGAATCGCACTAGTTTTATACAGAATAAAGATACTGCATTGGAAATCCGTTCGGAAAATGATAATTGCACGCTGTTTTGGCCCAGTCAGGCTGAAATTAGCGACTTGTGGACTGGTTGGGCTCAGCTTCCGATGGTCTGCGCATTAAAATTCTCTCCTTTTTGCACTTTCGAGCCCTGACGAGCCAATTTATGGAAATCGGGTTAAATCGCTTCACCAAAACTTTTAGTGACTAAAATCGACTTCACTTGTTTTAGTCTCCAAAATTTACTAAACTAAAACCTTTAGTTTCGCAAATTTTAGTGACGGTTAACGACTAATTAGTTGACTAAAAAAATTTTGCCACCCCTAGTAATTTATGGTACATACTACTAGTATATAGCACGTACTACGACTTACGAGTAGTGATAGAATTAGCCTCCGCAGCTCCAGTGCATTTTAACGATGTTCCATATGAATCACAGCATTTGTTTCTCACAGTCAATCGCATTTTGAATGAAGCGAAACTGCGAAACGGCACGGGCACCATGTACCTGCAGGATTATGGGCGTGGCCCCTCTTCTATGGGGTACCCCGTCCCGGATTTTCTGCCGGACACTGAGATCATTCGAGCCCCAGAAGGTGGCACTCTGCTCATTCCCTGCAACAACAGCCACAACACCAACAAGCAGGTGCGTATGGGCATTATATAGACTTTCAATATCGACCAGTTTGTTTTGATTCAAGATTCAGGGCGATTTACAAAGCGTCTTGCCGGAAGGTCTAATAAGTGATAACGGCAGCTTAATTTCGCAGTAATTCGACATGCCGCAATTTCATTAGAAGAGAGTAATTTGGAGAAATTTTAGCTACTAGAAGTCTATTATTTAGCGCAATTTTTGAGTACAAATACCGGCCTGTTTTGTTGCAGTTCATATTTCACTGCACATTCATATTGTCGTTGCACATTCATCTTGTCGCTATAATCAAGCTTATTAATTTGCAAAAATTGTCGGCACTGTACAGGTGTCCCACCTTGCGATTCCGCCGGCATTCACATACAACGGTATTCTGGTCACTGTTCCCGCTGACGGCATAAAGAGAGAACCGTTTGATGAAGTGAACTACTGCTGCAATTGTACGGAAGAATTCAGTGCCGGAGACCGTCGTGTACCACGCAAGTGGCTGGTGCCCGAGTACGATCCGGCCACCGGGGCGTTTTCCATCGCGTTAGTGAACTTCTCCTACGTCTACACCGGCCTGTACGAGTGTCTGCACTCCAACGGCAGCCAGCGGGTGGTGACGCAGCGCTATTGGGTCAGTGCCACTCTTTTCCGCCACAACGTTTTCAATCCGCCCATGAAGAACGTAACCGTGCTCTACGGTGAACCAGCGGCGATGGTCTGCCCGGTGCGCTTCAATTTCCTCCCCGGATACCTCATTACCCGCTTCCTGTGGCGCAAGGGAAGCGTGCTCTTACTGGTCGAGTCTATCCCCGGGATGAAGGGTAAAGCCGTGTCACCGTATGGCTTTAGAGGAGAATTTACGTTTGGTATGAAAGAGCCCTGTCTGTGCAACGCGACGATGAGGTTCGACAGCGTTACGTATGAAGACGCCGGTCTGTACGAATGCTGGTTTCGCATTAACGACCGTCTAGATGAATGGATCGCTCAAGAAGCGTACTTGCACGTAATTTAAAAGCAAAGGGCTTCAACTCGGCGCGCGATTCGCTGGCCGCACATAGTATCATTAGATTCCTTGGAATTTGAGGAATATGTTATCTGCAAAAGGTTTCTCCCAAGCAGTGAGCTGAAGTTGCAAAACTTCGAAGAACCCAGCAAGGTAAAGATGGTTAAAAGCAAGTCTTGACGTCAGCCTGCGATGGTCGCAATCACACAATGCGGCGCTGCGTCTGTACAGCTGTTTCGTACGTATGGACGTGCGATGACTCTCACAAAAATTCACAGCTCAATAGATCCCGCTGACAATAAGCGGTGTAGCGGTGAGCAGCGAACACAGATGTGATCTATCACACGCGCTAATGATTAGGCAACGTAAGATTATGCGTGGAGTTGATGAGCATCGCAAGCTGACGTTTTGACATCAATTAGCCATCTTTACCTTGCTGGGTTCTTCGAAGTTTTGCGACTTCAGTTTATTGCTTGGGAGAAACCTTTTGCATGATAACATATTCCTCAAATTCCAAGGAATCTAATGATACTATGTGCGGCCAGTGAATCGCGCGCCGTGTTGAAGCTGTTTACTCGTTAAATCAACAACGATAGGCGCTATATCTACTAACGATTTAGCGGTTTAGCAGCTGACTTTGCAGCTCTTCTCTGTGGTAGTTTTATTTTTTACTCTGGAATAGCTTGAGGATTTATGTTTGATTTGAGCTATGGTTTTCAGGAATAGTCAGAGCTTTGATTTTGGAAAATGTGATAGCGCGTATCTCTGGTTAATGGTTTTCACGTTACATTCCAGTGGCTTTTCCCTTATGAAATGGATTATGTTGTTCTCCATACGCACCGATTTAGTATCGTGTTTCGTACACGATAATGTTATAAAAATTCCATTTAAAAAATTATCGTCAGAATCTTGCTTGTGCAATGTAGAATGTAGAGTTTCCTGGCGTTTCCAATCCAAGCTTGTACGGCTGATTGTCTGTACCGATATTAAGAACCGCGATTTTGGACGATACGTACCGACCCATTTTCCTTAATTGTCAACAACTTGATTTGAGCAAAATACGCAATTTGGTTGTACAACTTATGCGTATTACAGTACGGTAGTAAGGCGACCTTTGCAACAGCCGATTACAGAATGATATTCTGTACGTACCTACAGAATGATATTCTGCACGTACCGGCACCGGCAGAACGTGTGGACGCTGTGTTCAAGTACCATGTGTAAATCAATCGCGATTATGTGGTTCTTTGGAATGTTCTCGTCGAATGTATTTTATTGTATTAAACTATTTACTTTTTCAATTGATATGGGTGTATTTGGTACTCTTGTTTAGGTTCTAGGTGCTCTTTTTAAGCTATCTGAAAATGTTGTTTTAAGATTTTGTAAAATTCAAATTTTCAGGCAGTTTTTTTATCATAATTCTTTTTCTAAGTTTAGAAGTTCAAATTTAAACAAAAGTTGCTGACGCGGCTAACATATAATGGTGCTGGTTGAATTATTATTTACAGTTTTTAACTCCGCTGAATTGTTTTCAGGGCAAAATTGTATATAATCATAATTTCTTTATAAATAATCGGTGTAACTCTTCGTAATAATTGTCGCGGAATTTGTTGTTAAATTGTACGGTTGTAATACGTGAGAAATATGAGAAGGACAGCCCTCCAACCCGGTGGAGCCCACGGCCACTGCATAGGTCATTCGTCGATGGCGTACAGTCGGGCGCGCGTATAATATACTGTAGCCGCGCGATGAAGTGGCTCCACTGTTAGATCCGGGCGCTGCCTTTCCCTCGTCGGGCACTGAGCACGGTGCTTACCGCCAACGGGCAGCGCACACGTAAAGCTTATTTTTATTAATTTTATTTTAGTACTCTTTTACTCTGGTAGACCGTTTTCTATCTCACAGGTATTATCACTCTCTAAAATACTATCACTGAATAAACTAATCTCCATTTCAGAATCGCTTTCATCAAGTACTAGTAAATTTTCCTTATCCATTCCAGAGCTCTCATACTCATTTTCAGAGCTCTCATGATCACGTTCTCGGTCATCATTCTTAAGCACCTGAGCAGCGAAAACGATTTACGGACAAGATCTGGGGTTACGCTTTGCCATGCACGAGAGATCATATCCAGGAAGTCTTGGCGCCCTGGCTTCTTCAGATATCCCGATTTTGTTACTTCATGATGAGTTGCTCGCCAAAGCTGATATTCGCTACGAAAAGAGGCCTTCATTGCTTTGTTAACGCTGACATCAAGCGGCTGATAATCGCCTGTGCGACCAGCAGGCACGAAGATTTGCTCGACATTTCGTTCTCTAAGTAGGAGCTCCGATGGTTCTTTTTTGTGGACAGGTGCTTGGTCTCGAACTAAAACACGCTTTTGCGTATCTTCTGGAAATGTATACTTTATCCAGTCCAGATCCATCTCCTCCGTCCACCAAGTAGAATAAGAGCTCTCAACAAAAATATTAGAAGGAACTTTCAGCTTGTTCATTATCCCTTCTGACAGCTTCCCATTCTTTCCCCCCTTTAGCACCACTACAGCGGGATATTTTCCACCATCCGCACGGATCGTTAAAGACACAGTTATTCCTTCTTTTTCGCCAGGAGGCTGTTTAACAGTTACCTACAAAGCCGTCCACAGTCAGCTTTCTAGAGGAACCACCCCCCCGCTGGTTCCCAGGGGCACCCCAAAAACCACAACAAACCAGACTCGTAAAATTAATAAAAATATCAGAGCTCTCACAATTATCATAGCTTTTGTTATAAATATTTGCAATGAAGTGAATAAAAGCTATACAATTACTTCTTTCACTCCAATGGGAGAAAGTGTTTTCGGTTTCGGCGCTACAAGGCGAATCATCGTCTGATCGAAATTGAATACGCGGTCAGCGGGAGTTTCATCCAGAACGATGGAATTGTGCAAGCGGAGAAAATACTCCAGCTCTTCTTCCTGTTTTTTAGAAAATGGTCAGAGCTCTGATTTCTAATGTTAAAAAAATTCAGCTTACCAGATCTTCTTCTGTAAATTCAGACTTGCGAGCATGTTGAGTTGGGACACGGTATCGCAGGCACTTTCTCTTCAAAAAGCTAGTAAGCCAACCGTCTGAAGCCTTGAAGGTTGGAGCTCCTTCCACCTGGGCTAACTCTAGCGCTCTTTTTTTCAGCTCCAGACGCGTCACAATCAGACCCTTCTTCCGCTCGGCCAGGAGAAATTCGTACAAAGCGTCCTCTATGTCAGAGTGGTCCGGCTTTCGCTTGTGTTTCTGCTTCCGAAGAGGCTCGTTCTTCCTCAACCTGCTGCAGGTAGACTGGCTGCTTTCAAGAACACGCAAGTAGATAATTAATTAAAATTTAATTGTACCTTTTCCAGCGTGTGAAAGTTCTCCACGGAACTCCGATATTATTTGCGTAACTCCGTGCGCTCACATCAGCGGCAGCAAAACCGATCAGAAATGCTCGAATCTGTTCCTCTGTATAACTACGCTGCTTTCGGCCCATTACGACAAATTAGAGCTCTGATTTAAATGCTATCCACAGCCGAAATGCAATTATTCACTTTAAAATGGAAAAAAAACCCGTTAAATTGATTGAAAATCAAAAATGCAGCAGAAATTCAATTTTTTATTCAAATCAGCGTATGTATATACGTCGTGCCTTTTCTCGTACACCAGACTCTGTGGAGCCACTTCATCCCGCGGCTACAGTACTTCCACCGTGGCTGCATTTTCTCTCGCGCTCTCTATGCTAGACGGAGTTTATAGCGGTTGCTACAACTTTGTGGCTACGTGCTATCCCCTCCCCCGATGCACAAATGCTAGTCTGTTCGCATAAACTCGTCGCCAGCTTGGTGCCCTTCTAGCTGATAGCAAGAAAGTAGCCAGTTCACAGCGGCTTGCTACGACTAGAAGGCACCCGCCCGGTGTGACCGTAGAAGGCAACCGCCCACAGTAACGGCAGGTAGCAACAGCAGCGCCCGCCCACCGCTACGGCAGCGGACAACCTCTTATGGTGGCGGGTTACTTGACTATGGCAAGCCGACATTAGGTATATGGCAAGCCGACATTAAATACATTATGGCAAGGCGTACTCGTAATATTGCTTTTTTCTGGAAATTATTTTAATCCGCTTTTAACTTTTTAATTTATTGTACATGTGAAACATTTTTTATTTATTTGATTTGTTTCAAGATTTCATCTTCAAAATCTAAATTGAAATCGTTGCAAATTTTAATTTTGAAATTTCAAGTTTAGTTGTAAGTTGAAATTATCAAAAAAAATTTAAGTTCCAATTTGAACTTGAATTTTAAAAAAAATACAGTTTAACTTTCAAATTTAATTTAAAAGTTAAAAAAATTGAATTTTAAATTTAAAAAGTTTCATAACATGATCGTGTTTGTTAATTCAAACTTAGTTTCAAACTTTTTAATGGTTATGGTGTACTGTATCGAATTTTTCCGCATTATCTGCGAAGTTGGTATATGGATTAGCAACCTCAAGAGGTTACTACATGGCTTAGCCATAGTCCTTACGAGCTAGCAATCTACAGAGAGTGTAGTCACGAGTCGGTCACTCACGACTACCAATAGCATCGTCTGTTTATGCAGACATTTGCGCTACGTAGTCGGTGCTACATAGCCAGCTACGTAGCAGTAGTCAGCCAGCATAAACTCATTTTGTGGAACTACTTGCTAGTTGCTACCAAAACGGCTACGGGCGACCACGCCTGCGAAAATGGTAGCAAGTCGTCAGGTCCGATAAACTGCCTCCTAAACTCGGCACAACATCGCACAAAGTATGACACACTGTCGGCCTTAGCTCAAATTCTTCTTGCGGGGCCGGACACAACCGACTGCCTATCCGATCCCATCGTTGTACTTGGGCCAGCTCGGCCAAGTCGGCGCAAACTTTTTTCTTCCTACGTGTTGGAAATTTATACAACTCTGTTAGTGTTGCGTACATGCCGGTTATGCAACACTAACAGTTTTTTCTCCGTCCCGGAAGCACAATAATATGTATCACAAAGCGTGATCCGATCACTTCGCTCGGTAGTCTGCATGCTCGTGTCACGCTTTGATTTTTCACAGTTGTTGCCTGTCAGTGCTGTCACCGGCACACGGTTAATCTGGATAATTAATTTCATGTTTTATTATTAATATACGGGCACCGAAATGCGTAATTCGTACTTGCAGGATAAGAACGTTCTCATTGATAAAATTTGTTCCGCTTTAGAAAAACAGTATATAAATTGAATATGTTAAAATACCAGTTAGAACAATTCAGATAAAAAGTGGACCAAAATTGGAAAAAATAAATTAGAGAAAATTATAAATAAATTATATAAAAATTATGTACAGTATAATGTATATTTATTATAAGTCCTGTGAAATACTGTAGCCAGTAGGCCCCGTACGGTACTAGCAGCAGGGCAACACTCAATGCTGCAGTGCCGCAAAACGCCGATCGCTGTCCGCTGAAAGTTTGCTGGCATTTTTACAAGATGATAGCAAAATTTCTATTTAATTTCATTTCATAAATCAACGCGCAATGCCATAGTTGAAGTTATTGTGTCAGTTGGAAAGTCGGCGTTGTTGTCTATGCAAAAATTGCATAGAGAACATTTACTTCTGTATTAATTCTTACTGCTGTATCGAGCCGCCATTAAGCTCCATATCAGCATTCAGCGGTACGTTTTCTTCGAGTACATTGCAGTCTAACTCACTACATGCCCTACACTATGTAGGATCTCTCACTGCTGACAAACTTGATCTCTTTGCTTAAGGTACCTAGCTTGAAATCGGTGCGGGACAATTTTAAATTTGAATCTTCATATATAATTTGCCTCTGTTTAATTTTTGTTAGAATCCGCGCTAAAGCAACAAATTCCACTACTAGATCGCTGTAAATTCTGTAATTAAATGATTTTAGTGGCTTTCAGTAAATTCTTAACCAGCAAAGTTGAGCAAACAGAATTACCAATACTCTGTACATGTCCGGTCGGTTGACAAGATGAGTGCTAGATCATTTCAGGTTTGTACGTTTAATAATCTTACAGAAATCGTCTGGTCTGGTTCCGGTTCTGGTTCTGGTCAGAAATCGTGGGTTTAATATCGTCCGGTTCTATTAATATATTTATTATACATTTATCATACAGAACTCATTTCATACAGAAAAAAGCACTGGAAGGTAACTTAAATACCATCAACCGAGGCACGCGCTATGTCAGTTTCCAAAAATTAAAGCTCTGCCTATTCCAGAGAAGAAAAAATCTTAGCTCCAACAAAACTCCCAGACTCTTCCAGAGTACAAAAATAAAACTGCCAAAAACACAGCTGCATACGCAGCTGCTAAACCGCTAGCCTATCAATATTGGCTCAAATCACGTGCAAGTAAGCTTCTTGCACAATCCATTCGTCCAAACGATCGTTAATGCGCAACCAGCATTCGTACAGACCGGCGTCTTCATACGTAACGCTGTCGAAGCTCATCGTCGCGTTGCACAGACAGGGCTCCGTCACACCCAGCGTAAAGTCTCCATCAAAACCAGCCGGTTTGTGGGTTTTACCCTTCATCTCCGGGATAGAGTCGACCAGTAGGAGAAAGCTCCCTTTGCGCCAGAGAAAGCGGGTCATAAGGCGCCCTGGTAGGAAATCGAAGCGTACCGGGCAGACCATTGACGCTGGATGGCCGTATCGCGCGGTGACGTTCTTCATTGGTGGATTGAAGACGTTGTGACGGAATAAGGTCGCGCTGACCCAGTAGCGATGCGTCACCACCAGCTGGCTGCCGTTGGAATGCAAGCACTCGTACAGACCGGTGTAGACGTAGGAGAAGTTCTCTAAGGCGATGGAAAACGCAGCAGTTACCAAATCGTACTCGGGCACAAGCCACCGGCGTGGTATCTGACGGTTCCCGGCAGTGGCGGCAATGAATTCTTTCGTACAGTTGCAGCAATAATTCACTTCATTGTGCGGTTCCTTGTTTATGCCGTCCGCGGGAACAGCGACCAGAATTCCGTTGTATGTGAATGCCGGCGGAATCGCGATGTGGGATACCTGTAAACTACCGACAATTTTACTAATAAGCTAAATTTTACTAATAAGCTAACTGCACAGCAGACGGCTCGAATTCATGTGATGTGTCGAATGATTCACTAATAAGCTTGATCGCAACGACAAAATGAATGTTCAGTAATTGCGACAAAACAAAACCGGTCTGTTCAGTCGAAAAATTGCTTTCATCAGCTCAGTGCGCTGATTGATTCTTGGCTTCTACGGTAGAAACTACAATTGTTCAATTTGGCCTCTCCTTATCGAAGCACGGGCATATCGAATTACTGCTAAATAAGGCTGTCGCTATCAAACATTCGTGCACGACGCTTGGTAAGTAACTGCGTCCTGAACCCTGAGTCGAGACAAGCTGATGGATGTTGGAAGCCTTTAATGTCCTATACACACCTGCGTGTTTTTGGTGTTGTGGCTGTTGTTGCAGGGAATGAGCAGTGTGCCGCCTTCTGGCGCTCGAATGATCTCAGTGTTCGGCGGAAAATCCGCGGTGGGATACCCTTCGGAAGAGGGGCCCCGGCCATAGTCCTGCAGGTACATGGTCCCCGTGCCATTACGCTGCTTCGCATCATTCAGTATTTGATTTACTACGACAAACAAATGATATGATTCATATGGAACATTGTGAAAACGCATTGGAGGATCGCAAATGCGTAACAGTCAACCGATCTTTCAGCGCTTCATCCCATCGGCTTCTCTCATCTACAGATTGTACCAAGCAAGACTTAGCGGGTATTTTCTAAAGAATACAAAAGTTCCTGATTTAATGTCAGCTATAGTTCTTCTGTTTTTATTCTGCTTCCTGGCCCTCAAGAACAGTATTTTCACGACCACAATCACACAAAGCTTCCGCATGGTAAATCAAATTACAGTACGATCGAGCTTGATTAAGTTGGTCGTCGACTCAGGATAAAAAACTTGGATAAAATAATTTTAGCAGGTTTTTCCGGTTATTATCCGTTGATATTTGAAAAGCTGAAAACGGTAAACCATAACGGTAAACCATTTTCAAGACCTGGCTGCTGATGCAGCGTCACTCACTGACATCAGGTGTGTTACACAATGCGGAGAGACTGGTTTTGATCTTATAGCGGTTAAAGAAGCCTTTTAGCATGAGACCCTACAGGGTAATCAGCTGATGGTGGGCAAAGCAGCAAACCATGACTGCCAAACCATCTTTTCTTTATTTCTTGATACCCTTACTAAAAAGTTCCATCCAGTGCCTACCCGGTAGCAAGACAAGTTCATGCTTTTTTGACTCAAGCGAAGGCTCGACGTAGCGATGCTGCAGGTGTTAAGTCCTCATATTCCACTACTGCACGACGCAGAAGACTGCAAAAGATGTCCCACCTAAACCGCAGATAGCTTACGTTTTGCGGCATTGAGTCCTTCTTGTACCGGACAAGTGTGACTGGCTGAGAACAGGCTCCAGCACTGGCTCCAGCACGACAAGCCCAGCAGCCGCAAGAAAACAGCCCATGATCGAGGATTAAACTGGTATCAAACAGGTATGGACATTTAAATGATAAAGATATAAAAGAATAAAAACTGAAACGTGGGGTATATAATCGTACAACAACGTCGGAAAAATCCCTCTGGCAGGAATCAAGATTCGTTGCAATGCCGTTCCCGAAAGGAATGCTTTCTTCATACGCTTGTCGAAGCTAGAAGTAAACAAGGGCAGTGGCCAGAAACAAAATGACATAATTATGTACGAGCCAGATAATTTCCGAAAATATTTTCGGCAAATTTGCCGAATGCTTGTTTCGGCAGCGGTCATTCCGCATGCGATTAAACAATGTCAGCTACGACTACGAGTACAATTTTGTCCAGATTTCCCACAATTTTTTCAGCCAGCAATGCCAGCCGAAATATCTTCCACAGCCAACAATACTGACGTTGATCCGAAGGCTGGCGGAACATCCAAGTTTCTGCTGCAGCTTGGTTTTTGCTTGGAAATTGCACTTATAGTAAGTATTACAAAGAAGTTTTAATATCTCGCCGTTAGCAGGCATGGATTAGTTATGATCACGTATATTTATATAGTGATTTCCTTATTTTCTTGTTCCGCTCGGATAAAGTCGCAGAATTCAGGTGAGGTGGTATGCATTATTGCCTTACCAGAACCTTTGCTTCTTTCTCGTCGATTTAAGATTTTTGATGGTGTATAGGTTTGTGCTGTCTTTCCTTTTTTAATCGTTACTACAGTACTACGGTGCGCGTTGCATTACTGTTAATTTATAAATGTTTGGAATGGTACAGTATATTAGTTAGTCTTTCTGGCTGCTGATGTCAATCTCTGGCGTCGTACTTCGAAGATAGGCATTTCCAACGTGTTTCTGCAATACTTGTATCGACAGGATAATCGCGTAAGACAACACGTTGTAATAAACCCAATGAACGGATTAAGCGTAAGAATGTGAAGTATGTACATAACAGCATTTCCGGCAGTGTTGCATGGTTACGAACTTACGATGTACACTTCTACGAGTATACGTACGTATACTACGTTGTTAGCAGAGTACAGACAACGATTCCGGAAGTAATGTGGACGATCGAACGTTCTTTTACCGTGTTTTTGTAAGTTTTTTTACCAGTATATCAGCCTTCTTTCAGGCATGAGTGTCATTGTTGTTTTTTCGAACAGCTCACTGCAAGTCTGCAAGTACTAGTTAGGTACAGTACCATGCACTGCATGTTGTCTTTTCTCTGCCTTCTTGGCCTCGTGTATGATTCGCACTGCATGTTTTGGCGGAAACTCACCCGCGAACAATGGGATGCACTCATCAGCCAATCCACAACCGGCACTGGATCCCACCTTAACACCAACCGGCTGCAAAATAACTTCCGTTTTTTCCCGGAAAAGACGGCGCTACGAGCTACCATCACTAAAGCGTGTGGACTTCCAGGCGGAAACAATCCCGACCCTTTTGGATTATCCGCGCAGTTCACCACAAAAGGCAACAAGATTTCGGATATGGAGATACCGGGAAAGGAAGGAGCTCTAGGAGCAATTCGTCGTAGATGGCATTTGGGAGAAACAGCGCCGGCCCCGAGAATTGTCGGAGGAGCGGATACCAGCACAGCCGTTGCTTGTTGGCAGGTAACGAACGTGAACACAAAACTATAACGCCAACAAACCGTACACTGAATGCAACGTTATTGCGTGAAAATATGTACACGTAATTTCTACCGTATCAGCACGGCGACAACCATTAATTCACGGGTTACGCCAAACTCCATACTACGGCGGCATCGCCACACTAGTTATGCTTTATATGCATTTGGCATGGCTGATGCATGCCAAATATCGGTTCAGATTATACAGTAAATTATCCATATATGAACTATAAAATGTTAACCCTTCTCCTTTATAATTACCCTAATACTGAAAAGATCATTTGTCGTTGTGATAGACGTAGTGCAGTGGCGATCGTTACAACTCGTAATGAAACTTTTGCGCTAAATACCGTAATTATCGAATTTGAAGCCCCCCCAAAATACAAGCCCCCCCCGTAATTAGAGCCCACCCTAAGGTCGTTTGAAAGTTATAAGCCTTCCCCCCCCCCCGAAACAGAGGCCCATGGGCTTAATTAAATACCGTAAAGCCCATATTAAAAAATGCCAAAAAGCTGGTTTGAAAAATTGAATCCCCCTCCCTAAATACAAGCCTATGCCCGTAATTGGAGCCCACCCCGTGGGTCATTTGAAATATTTGTAACCCTGGGCTTCTAATTCGATAATTATGGTACATGCTAAGTGTACCTTTACGGTAAATATTACGGGACAAGCTTTGTGCAGTCGCTTTCGGTACGGTTTTAAGCTGTTTTTCTGATCGTTTTCCTTCTGCCGTATTTCGGCGAAACTGAGCATACAATGCCGATAGTATGGGTGCATGATTTCAAAAATGCATTGCAGGCGTTCATTATGCCGAACACAGCAAGCGCAGCTGAAAGTATACGAGGACATTTGGGTGCTGTGAACATACCCTGCACGATTAGGCTGCGATGAACAGCCGGCTAAATTAATGGCAGTCGATTGCCTCAACCGTGTATGCCATCCTGGGCGGCAAACCAGCCCGTAATGTTATTGGTCGCATCCACGGATTTTAAACAGATTTTCTCCATAGACTGGTATGCTAACTTCAGATGCGTGTCATTCTTGATTTTGAAAATGAAACTGTTCAAGTCATATACCAAACGGCAGAAAATTATTTTCACGATTTTTGACACCAAACAAGTTGCAGTTTATGGCGAAAGACAAGTTATAGCTGTTTGAAGTTTCTCAGACACAGCATAGAATCGCCGCGTGGGACCCTTGATCGTGAATTGTATGCTAAGTCTACGAGAAAACTAAAATGGCTGTAACTTGTTTCATTTACCACAAACCACAACTTCTTTGGTCTCAAAATCGTGAAAATTAATTTTCTGTCGTTTGGTATATGACTTGAACAGTTTCACTTTCAAAATCAAGAATGACACGCATCTGAAGTTAGCATGTAGTCTATGGAGAAAATCTGTTTTAAAATCCGTGGATGCGACTACTAACATTACGGGCTGGTTTTCAGCCGCCCAGATGGCATACACGGTTGAGGCAATCGATCATTAATTTAGCCGATTGTTCATCGCAGCCTAATCGTGCAGGGTACACAGCACCCAAATGTCCAGCGTACTATATAGATGCGGCGGTGTGATCATCGGCAGCCGAACCATCTTAACAGCCGCCCACTGCTTGCTGCATCGGACCACAAGGTAGAAGTGTCGAATTCCCGATATACCATTAATCTGGAGAAATACTAAACTATTGCTAATAATTCTCCAGCGTTCCATTGCCGGTGAGTAGCATCCAGGTGGTCGTGGGTGCCGTGAACAGCGGCGCTCCGGCAACCAACGTCAACGATCCCACCGGTTGCGCCCAGACGTTCACCGCGGAATCACTCATTATACACCCGGCATACAACCACGAACTTAATGACAACGACATCGCAATCATTACGCTGACGACGGCCATTAACGTCGATCAGAAACCATGCGCCTGCACACTGTGCTTCAGCGCACGCCAACCGACAGTCGGAGAGCAGTGCGCGGTGACAGGTGTCACGGTGTCTGCTCGATGTATGAAGCAACCACCCTTGGTGGCTGCTGGTATAGATTTCATGCATTTCCTCTGAAATTGATCAGTTTATTGCTTCCCTTTTCCCCTATTTTCTGTATTTTCCCCCTTTGGGCAATAAACTCTTCTTTTGTGGGAGACCCGTGGTCTTCCACATCCAGATTTATCTGTATTTCGAGGGGGTGTTAGACCTTCCTCGTGACACAGGTTACGGCATAGAAATGGCTCTTTTGAATTTTACTGGTACGGCAAAAATGTCGCGGGCCAATTTTTGTGCCCCATTAATAACTTTGGGCGTCTTATTGTTGCAGTGCCTCGTCGAAATCCGGTGCCGTTGAAATGGGTTGCCCAAACCATTGTTAATCAGGGCGCCACGAACAAATGTCCGGCATTTCCAAACAGCGCAGGAGCAATCACCAATCTGACAATGAAGTTTTGTACACACGGTCCAGATGATCAAGGCCCGTGTCTTGGAGATGACGGTTGGTCTCTGGAGTTTTTTGCATTTTTATAACACCACGCGCAGTAATACCTCAGTAATACAATGATTCTTACTGTTTAAGTTAAGTTCAGTCGTTTAACGTCCGCACACAATCTGGGTAAGACCCAATCCGAGGCAGCAGACTCGTCATAATTAAAATACAACACAAAATATCGAACAACGATAGGCAGAAAAAATAACACTCGTTCATATTTCCAACAACTGCACATGATCAGTATGATAAAACTTCTTAAGGGACTTCACTGTCTTCCAGTTAACATCATTTAAAGCCGTTTTAAATTTAGTCAAATTCCCGTAGGCTTCTGCCGGTAGGTATAAATCGTTCCATATCCTTGCCATCCGATAGGCGAAAGATTTATCCGAAGGTGGAAGTGTCAGACCGCAAAACGTCGTTATTCTAGAAAACTACTCTTTGTTATTCTACAAAACTCGGATGCGAATCTGAAAGTCAGATGCAGTGTTCAGAAACGCTGTTTATATGTTTAGGAAGTGCGCTAGTCTGCTGGGATCCGGCCAACAACGGCTACTATTTAGCAGGTCTCATTGCCATAGGCCCGGAACTTTGCGCCATAGGCTTGAGCGACTGGAGCGCCCAAAGCACTAAAGTAGCATTGTATTTGCAATGGATTGCTGACAATTCCGTATCCGGCGACGTCAACCTCCCCGCGAGCAGCATTGTCTCAACTCCAACCCCCGCCCCTTCCGAAACAACTAACAGCCCAATCACCGCCCCGGGCACGACCGAAGCATGCGGTATTCCCGGCAGCGGTCCGATTGATGCGTTCGGCATCGTCAGTCAAATGGAGTGTTGAAAGAAGTGATCCATTGAATGACCCGTATTTCGCAATCAAGAATCCTGTGTAACTTTCTAAATGGCTCTAGTCAAAATTAATCGGATTTCGCTGCTAGTATAGGGACAAGTTGCTTATGGAACGGACTTGTATATACGCGTTGCTTATTTGCAGGTATCTTGACCTTGTCGAGCGCTATTGACCTGGCCACCAAACCGTGTGCGTGCGCCATATGTCTGACAAACCGAGTGCCCACCTTCAACGAAACGTGTATCATGAGTGGTTACGGGACGGAGACCAACGGAAACCGTAAGTGACCAGTGTAATAATAGCTCCGGCAGTAATGTAATCCCTCGTCCGGTTTCCCTTTTTAGCCATTCGTAGTGCGGTACCCTTGAAATGGATTACGCAAAAAATCATCCCACAATCGAGCGTTTGCCCTAGATTCTGCTTCGGAAGTTCCTGTACCAATGTTAGCAACTACCTGTAAGATTTTATCATTTTGGCGGCAATCTATAGCAAACTACCGCTGCGGAGTTCGTAAGCGCTGGTGTCGCTTTCAGATGCAGCCAAGGTGCGACAGGCCAGGATCAGTGTATCGGTGACACTGGCGGCCCGTTGGCTTGCTACGATCCCACGCGTAACAACTATTATTTGGCCGGCGTTATTGCGTTCACCACGGAGACCTGCGGAGCCGGTCAAGGCGGACAGAGCGTGGAAGTGGCACTGTATTTGCCATGGATAGTGGCTAATGCCTGGCCGGGTGACGTTCAAGTAGAGGACAGTTCTGTTACAGTACCGACTGTTCCGTCAGTCGGAACGACCACATACTACAATTATGTATTTCTACAACAATAATATGGGCTAACAGAAGGAAAACAGGCAGTCACAGTCACAGATATAACCAAATGATCTGCAGCGGGTAGTTTATCCAGAAGTTGATTCAGCATTTATTCAGACTACTACAAATAATTATGTCTGCATAGTACGTAATGTACTCTCTGTACGAGTATCTTTGTGAATTTCTGCGTTAACTTTTTTTATCCAGTTTAATATTCCGGTCGTTTGCTGCATGTATTCCAATAATTCTATATTTATTGGAATTCCAATAATCAATAATCTGCATGTATTCCAATAATTCTTGTATTCCATTTACATATTCTATATTTTTTCCACTGTCTGCCTTTTAATGACATTGAACGTTTTCTATTCACCATCCACTTTGTACTTACACGTGATACGAGTACTTGTTAAATTTTAAAATCTGCTGAATTGTCATTCGACAATCATGGTGTCCGACCCGAGATGCTTACACCAGTCTCGCCAATTGGTCATTCATCGCAAAATCCTCGTAAATAAACATTACAGCAGACGTAACATATTCTGCGAATCCATGTAAAGGTCATTCAGACAGTGGGCATCTGTAATAAAAAAGACGAAAGTAGAAGCGCGCGGCATGATCTGTTTGTCAGAGCAGAAGGCTCTGCACTCAGGACAAAAGCCCCATCCGCCGTCTACCTGGTCTCAAGCTCACGCACAAATATCTTGATCTCAGCCAACAAGCGATGGCACAGTGGCTGTGCTACGTGGAATGTGGATCACACTCGGTAGCCAGCGGTTCGATTCCGCTCCGTCGCCATTTTTCAGAATTTCCTAACATGAAATTCTTTCGCACTTCATCTGGCCGCCCTCCCTTGGCTGAGATACCCACGGACAGCCGTGTTTATGGCAGCAACTGATATGTTATTTTAAATCGATTACGAGTAACGGTATCATGGATTTAAGTCCTGAAAGACAGTCTTGAATTATAATTCTGTTTTTGACCGATTTGAACTACAAGTACAAATGTACAATTACCGCAAACATGCGATTTATGGGCGTAAACTAACCATGGTCAGAGCAGGAAAGGCTACAGGTGTTAGTGCGCGCTGAAACAACTTGCATAATTACAGCCAAAATATTATTATATTAGTGCACGCGAAAATATAAAAGTGCAAGGAAAAAAATAAATAGATAGCCTGATATTTTCAGTGGTATTAGTCAACGACTAATAAAATTCCACGGTTATAACATAGCCCGGTTGAAATGCTAGCTGTCGTAATAATTATGGAAGAAATCGGTAGAACAAGAACACAAATAACTCCCATTAAATTTACAGTTTAACACCTCACATGAGGGTGCAGAAAGGCTTCTCGCGGTTGTCCCCATGTCGCACAAGCTCTTGCACTCTCATCCAGAAGCCTCTACCTTGGTTCGAGTGCGGTTGCTTAGTGACGCCCCAGAGATAAATCCCGTGCGGCGAGCACACAATGTGCGGCCAAACGAGTCGGTTGAACAATAATTTCCTGGCCTTCTTAGGTAAACAGTCTTTCTTCATCTCGGTATAGTTTTCCGCACACGTGAACCCAAGCAGGAAGCACTGGCAATTTTTCTCTTGCATACTTGACATGCTTCAGAATTTGCAGAATATTTTGCATGAGCTTGTATATCGTAACTAATCAAAGGGTTCAAAGACGTACCCGGCATCGGCGTGCATAGAATCGGATTTCATCTGTCCGGCCACGAGCGAAATCTAGCACCCTCTTATCGTCCCAGTTAGTGCTACATAGACCAATGGCCTCCTTCACTACTGTACTGCGCCTAACTTTGATACGCGCTATGGAGTTGCTATGCAGGTTGGCTTTATCGCGGAAGAAGACGATTCCCGATGTTGTACCTCAGCAGGGCACATTTTCCGGGTGTGAATTCAAAAATTCTCCTCTTTTGTAAAACGATAGTATACTACGCAGTATGTTAAATGTTATTGTACCTGCAATGGTCGATAGTGGCCAAACAAAAATTAGGTGACTACGTACGTAGTATGCAAACTGCTACTGTGCAATACTATAAATCTTTCGAAATTATTTTTGCGCGCATTACATTAGATGTTCATGTGCCCATGAACCGCTTCAGTTCTCTGGCACTGACCTGGCCAATGCCACCGCTGCCCAATTGTGAACTTGTAAAAATTCGTTCAGTTCAACAATACGTAAACAACGTTTTCTGTACGCATATATCTATATATCTTTATATGCTGCATACAATCTTACCGTCAGAAACGTATGTATGTGCCGTTTATTATGGACTCGTCATCGCATGTTCAGTTTCAATCAAGCTTGGTCGGTTTTAATTAAAGGAAATGTAGAGCACCCGATCTGTCTCTTAAACTGTCTCACGAAGACTGCCGTGCGAAAGTCGTTTTTCTGAGGTAGAATGTGAATTCAGTCGGGAGTTTTCATTAAGCTTGTTTGTATTTTTCGGAACCCTGCGGTAATGTACAGAAACTGAGTCTCTTCAAATAGAGGGAGATCATCTGTACATGCGCCGCAACACTCTCACGAACTGGAGCACTCTTATCCAGATCGAAATTTCCGCTTTCTAATTGCTACTATATCGTGTGAAATTATTTCACACGATCTAGATGAAAGCGGAAATTCCGGTTACGTAATTTGGCTCACAGCCATAAGGTCACAGTTGGCGTGCTGCTGGATCGATGTACAGGCTTTTGGTGCAACTTGAGCTGAGTAATGAAAACGTGCAGTATTCACGCAAACTAATTCATTGCGATCTACAAACATCAGCTGATCATTCGGCGGTGTTGTTAGCGGTATTTAAGATAGCATCCCATCCGTGCAGATTTGATCTGCCGATGTGGACGTGCACAGCCGACTCCGCGTGGAGCTATCGGAGATTTAAGCGCCCTTGATGGTCTTGCTTGATTCTTGATTCTCAAGTTTTCCTGAGGTACGGTCCACTCGTCACTGAATGAACCTTAATATCTAACCACAATTAAAAAAGCCAAAAAGCAAATCCCGCAAATTTATCAAGAATTACATGCAATATGGTGAAATTTATTTTTAAAGAATCTGGAGAAAGAACCCGAATTTGAAATACTCCATCCAGATTACAGTTTTAATAAGATAACCGCATGTATTGTACTCTGTACAAGTACTTACATTTTATGGTATTCGATATTGATGCTATGAGCAAGCGATTTGTTATACTGTAGCTACTCCTAGTTACCGACTATCCATCTGTACGGAACAATTATCAAAACATGCTTAATTGTAAGTAAATTAATCTGGTGGTAATTGTAAGCAGATTTGGCGCATTTTTGCAGCAAAACTATGAGCACTAATCACCATAAATACAATACAGCGTGCACGAAATGCAGCAATAAACCACTTATGCAATCGCGCCACAAAACGTGGTACCTTGCTTTTATTAAAGATCAATGAAATTCGTTTACTTATTGACGTGAACTGCATTTATTACGTAAATTCATGGCAAGTTAAGAGTCAACCCTCGGTTCCTATTGGCGTAAATATTGACAATTATTAGACATCATCCGGTACACATAACAATCCGCGTGCGGAGGTGTACACTAATTAAAAACATTATACGAAGGACGTACCAAAAGTAAGTAACCGTTGCATTTTAAACATTGAAAAAATATCCAAAATTGTTAGTGTCTCTCTTAATCTTAGGACGTGCATAAAAGTTTAAGAACGAGCAAAACTGAAGGCCGCCTGTTCTGGAATTGTAAGCTATACTCGATCATGATTTTTCAAGCGGCTGTGGACTGCAATTGAGTAAATTTTTCCAGCTTACAGTATTAGCGCTAGCTGACTGAATTAGCAGTAATTTTATTTTTTGGCACAGCTTCTTTCCTAATGTTTCGGAGCTCTGGAGTTTTTTTGTTCCGTGTGGGTTGTTCAGTCATAAAACTAAAGCCGCAAAAACGAGTTCACGACGCCTGGCAGAACCCAGAGACCAAGGAAATTTGCTTAGAAAGCAGTTTTCGCTTCTATTATAAGCACTTTCCCATAATTTTAAAATGAATTTAAAAATTTTGAAATTCATTTTAAAATCGGAAAAAAATGCTATGGATCTAATACTGCAGTACACTTTCGACCTTATGACCATGTGTCTTTTGCAGCAAAGTTTCAAGAAGATCGGGTAATAACCAGACTTTTGGTACACAACCATCCATATGAACTTTTCACCCATTTTAGTACGCCATATCTCGGCAACCGGATGTTGTGCGCGGAAACGGTTTTCAGAACAATGCATACAAAGCTATTTAGCTTTAGAATGACATAAAGTAAAACAAAAAAGTTATTCGAATTACGCGAAAGCGAAGGTTTTAGCTGTTTATCCCATTTTTGACATCATGTACCGGGCCATTTCTCTTAAGAATAACCGGCACGTGATTCTATACATACACGTAAGTGGGTTATCGATCCCGAGTCTTCTATCACGATTAATGAATCAGACCCGCTGGTGTCATCGGCGATCACCCACCGGAGTTCTGAAAGGCAAGTTCACTTCAGTGTAAGGATTCTGTAATATGAGAACATACTAAAAGGTATAAGACCGAGTAGTGCAGTCATCAGTTGTTGGGGCTGGGTTGATTCCAACCTCTGGCAAAATTTTTACGGCATACGAAGTATGTCAGTCTATATCTCACCACACGCTTGGCTCCGCTTTCAGCCCTGAGGTTATGTCCAAGCGACGGACGATAATGATATCGGTAAGCTCAAGTTTACCCTGTCCTACGCTGCAGAGCAATATATTCTTCTTCCAAAAAATACCTCATATTATCGCTCAAAGCGCAACCTT